CCCAAGGCCGGGGGACTGATTACCTCATTTTTGTATATGTTCTACTTTTTTCCATTAGTCCTAAAATCTTATTGATAAAGCCACTGGATGGCGAAACGTCTACTAAAATAAAGAACCAAATTTTTTTTTAAAAAATGTTGTTTAAATTTTTCAAAATTGTCGGTTTTTAACCTTTCTTGCACAACTTGTCAGACACTGCAACATCATGGAATCTTGGTTCAGGACATCTACAAGACCTTCTTCACGGCTGCTGCAACTAACCCAATCTCTTTGGGAAGGCCCTACTTCCACTGGGAATCCCGCCTACCAGTGACTGCCCTCGTCTGCTGCCGTCCCATTCACTGACGCCTATAAAAAGCGCCAGTCTTCTTGCCTTTGCTCCAGACTCTCCTCCACCACGATGCTGTGAACACTAACTCCAAGGCCGAGGGACTGATTACCTCATCTTTTGTATATAGTTCTACTGTCTTCCTATTATGTCCTAGAATCTGTATTGATAAAGCCACTGGATGGCGAAACGTCTACTACAATAAAGATATCCAGATGTTGCACATGTGTCTTAACTTTCATATTGTCGGTATTTTATACCTTTCTTTCACTATCAATTGTATACTGTACTTCACTTTACAGAAACAATTATTTGTTATACCTGTCTTCCCATTAGGGGAAATTAAGCCATGTTCCAGGACTGGGGGGCTCTTCCTATAATAAGACACATAAATTAGTGAGTTTATTTAGGTGTAGGTACACATAAGTACAGTTACACAAATTCAGGTGACTACAATTATCATACTTAGTAACTTATATATAAAATTACCTACGATAACCCAAAAAAGTCAAAGTGATTTATTTCAGTTGCACCTGTAGGATGCACCTCCATTGGTATCTAACACTATATTGATTGTACAATGAGCCAGCACTGTAAGGCATCTGATGCAGTTGTTACCTTTACCCACTTTGTCTTTGATTATTGTAAATTTGATGTATAGAGGAAGGGTGTAAGGACGCACACTGGTACCTGGGACAGGTCCATATTGGCAAACTACCTCCCTACTGAATTAGTCATAGATTTTCTACGCCGTAGTGGGACCAGGGTAATATGTGAGGTTCAATGTTACGTCAGTCAACTCTCCTGCTTTCAGGGAGCAGTGTTCGTATTTCTTTAGTGCTGCTGGTGGTATCAGCAGCTGCAGGAGTCAGTTGCAAGGGACCTCTTCAAGTACGCTGCATGTATCCTGAAGAGTGGAGTTGCTACATGAGATAATTTGGGCTATATATGATCGCATAGAGTTGAGAAGATTCTTGTGGGATGGACTGGAGCACATAAAGCAGAACTGTAACTGGAGCACATAAAGCAGAAACATAAAAAGGAAAATAATAAGCTTTAAATCCAATTGAGCAACCAACCAGCAGGTCTCACTACGGCGCCTGATGTAGTGTCCCTATAAACCCCCAACACAGGAATAAAAAAAGACAACTCGTGGTGTATTATAAACTTCATAGTAAACTCTACGTACTGTGAGGGAACACAAGTATTGTCAAAATGCTAAGGAACATTTTATCCAAGAAAATACTGCGTGACACCTCACAAGTGAGGTGCTTGGTCACCTCACCAGTGACATGTACACTTCATACTGTACTTCATGATTTCCATGTTGCCAAGGAAGGTAAGATGGTTGAATTTGCTGGCTACTCTATGCCAGTACAGTATGGTAAAGTTGGCATAGCAACCTCCCACAGGGAGGTACGCACCCACTGTGGTCTCTTTGATGTCTCTCACATGCTGCAGTCCAAGATCCATGGCAAAGATCGCATTAAGTTCATTGAGAAATTGATTGTTGGGGACATAGAAAGTTTGGAGGCCAATACTGGCACATTGTCACTATTTACCAACGAGCAAGGTGGCATCATTGACGACCTGATCTGCAGTAAGACAGACCAGGGTTACCTCTATGTGGTGAGCAACGCTGGTTGTAAGGAGAAGGACTTGGCGCACATGAAGGACCACTTGTCATCCTTCAGAGCTGCTGGAGGTGATGCTGAACTGGAGGTCATCGACGATCACGGTCTGGTGGCTGTTCAAGGTCCACGTGCAGCACAAATCTTACAGGTTGCTACAAAAAAAGCTATGTAATTTTAGGCTGAGGCTATTTGACTGGCAGCTGGTCATTTCCAGACCCATTGCTGCCATGGTTTTTCAGTTTGCTTATCTATGGTTTAATATAAATTCACTTATAGGCTTATGTAACCAAACTTAACCATTAAAGTGGTCACTACATGATTGTTTTGTTAATATCTTTTAATGAAATATTTACTATATGGCTGCCAACCTGGTATATGCTTCTATAATGCTATACAATACATATTGCAAATATTTTGTTATACAAATTCATGCTCTGACCATTATTAAAGAATTTTGGGTAAAAGAATTTATATGTCTTTCACACTGTTGCAGCTCTCTAATAAGATCGATATTTAAAAAAATACTTAACACTTCTCACAATTTCAAGATAGTTAAGCATTATAAAACTGAAAAAACAGTTAATTTGTGGCATTCATAATGAAAGTGTATTTAGTTGGTAGCAGAGTACTGAACAGTAGAAGGTTATTTACCTGGAAGTCAAATAATGACCACTTTGTAAGCAAGTTTATATAGGCACAGGTACACATAATTACAGTGGTCATGCATAATGTAAATTACATAGGATTACCCAAAAAAAGCCAGTGGCATATTTCCATTGGGGTCCTTGTCACATGCTGGGTGGGGTGTCCATGGCCCAGACAGCCTCTAATTTTTATTTACAAACTTATGCAATACCTGATTAGGGATTTCTTATAAAGGTTTCCTAAATGAAACATATATACCTCACTGTTGCCTAAAAAATAAAACATTCTATGATTTTATATTATTTATCAGTCTGTTAGCTCATTACCGCATTACTGAATAATTATTTTGGACTGTTAGCAATTTTCACTGCATTGTAATTTTTTTTATACTGGTGTACATGAAAGAAAGCACAAAAATGCCTTCCATAATTTTTGTACAGGTATAATAATAATTAATTATCTATAGCCCATATCAGAAGGAGGCCTTGATGATCTATACTTCATGAATACACGAGAAATGCATGTAGCTGGTATCCCATGTAGAGTGACGAGGTGTGGCTACACTGGGGAGGATGGAGTGGAGATCTCTGTTCCTAATAATAAGGTCTGTACTAATAAGCATGTTGCACATTTTTATTAAATGCAGTTCACATAATTCTAGTACATAGTCCATGCTCTAAATTTTTAAGAGTTCAGTAATCTACTGTACAACATAAATATAATCTGCATAATTTGTAAGCAAATCAGCCATTACCACTAAGCAGGTAACCAAAAGAAAAACGACGTTCTCGCACAACATTTAAAGTGTAGCCATTGTACGTGTTAGGCCCTCCCCCCCACCTTTTATCTAGACTTTTGATTCAGGGAATTGGAGCCACTCTGCACTTCTTGATCTAACCTGATTGAATTCATTCTTCTTTCCCCTAGCACTGTATGGCTTATATGGGTTCAGCACTTCTCCTGAAATATTTAATAAAATATATTTGTCATCCTACAAAATAAAAGCTGGTTAGCTTTTTTGTCTGAATCCCTTCATAGCAGTTTCCTGTTTGTACTCCAGCAGCATGTCAAATCCCTTAGATCACCCACTTTCTCTCTGAACTGTCATATTCCCGTATGCTTGATGCAAGTTCAATCCTCTACCCATCAATGTGTTATCCACACACTTTACAACCAAGCTCCTTCTGTCCACCTCAGATTTATATACTGTCTTCATCAAGTTGTCCTATTTCAGTTTTTCTACAGGATAAGATAAATTCAGCAATACCTCTTCTGCTTTTTTTTAATTATACCATTTATACCACTACACTATACATTAATGCCTTATTCTCTGCACAGCACAGTACTTTCAGACTAGACATTTCCTGTGCCTTCATCTTCCTGGAACATTTCAGAACAATATTTCACACACTTGTTCAGAAGCATTGGCACCACTAGATGCTGATACATTGACAAACATCTTTCCAAAGACTCCTCACACTCTCCCTTCTCTGTTGTATTATTTATCCCATCTTTCATAGGTTTAGCTGCTGATACATCCATTGCTAAGTACAGTATCTAGGTGTACTGTAATCACTCCATTTCATTCTTAACTTACCTTTAATTTTTCCTTACCTATACTGAACTTCAAATTATTCTTGGTGTTAACCTCAGCAGCTTCTTTTGAAACTCCAGGTTATCTGTAAATAGCAGTTTGGTCAACTTCAGTTTGACAGCAGGTTTTTCTGTCCTGTATAGTCACAACACTCCCAAGCAGTCACATCACCTTCCTTTAAAAAAGGATGCCTTGATGCTGGTGAAGGGTTTTTGATTCAAGGAAGTGGATGAAACCTGATAATCTGTATGCATCAGAGTCTCGGGTAAGTTATGGAATAGTACATAATTCTAGGTATTTCGGTCAAAAAAAAAATAAAATGTCTTCAGGAGCTGACTCTCTTTTTGACTGAAAGGCTTCGAGCTGTGTATTATGCTAATCCTTACCTATAGCTTTGTTGCTCAGTTATCACTCACTATAATAACTAGTGCAAACATATATACATTCAATGCTTATTACTGTATATACAATCTGTTCATTGCTATTGTAAGGCAGTACATATATGGTGCCACTAGAGTACAGTTTGTTAAATAATACTGTATCATAATGTTAGTTTTAACTTTTCTTAAATGATCTGTAAGCTAAACTTTTAATGTTTTTGCTATCCAAATTTTCATTGGTTTCCTAAGCAAGTGGAGTTTCACTCTTTAGATGTTCCATATGGATAATGTATGTATACAACATAGGCATCATGTCTAGTATCAGTGCTTATAACTATCATTATACTTTAAGTAAATCAGGTGGACGAAAATTATTTTAAGCTGTTCAAGGAAGTATATTTTCTAATTGTGCTTCCCTTATGGGTTTAGCACTTAGTTATGATTATAATCTAATTGTGCTACTGTATATGAAAATTACATTAACATTATTTCATTTTCTTTGCAGGCAGTTGAGCTTTGTGAAACTTTGGTTGATTTAGGTGTTCATCTGGCAGGTCTAGGTGCTCGTGACTCACTCAGACTGGAGGCTGGCCTCTGTCTCTATGGTAATGATATTGACGACACCACAACTCCCATAGAGGGAGGTCTGGCATGGACTATAGGAAAGAGACGCAGGGAAACTAAGGATTTCTTAGGAGCAGAGGTGATTTTATTTTTATTGTAGTTAAGAAATATCACATGTCCTTGCTCCACTTGGTCATATTGTCTCTCCTTTTTCTTGTACTTGTTAGTAAGTAGACATTTACTGTAGATATTTTTATGGTATACTGTATATGTATGACTATGTAGTGTTTCTGTTAGAAATTACAGTTACTATACTCTGTATATATATTTTTTATATCTTTGGTGTCTTTTTTGGGGGTGGGAATTGCTAATTTTTAAAGAGGTGACCACTTGTAGCACATTTTCTAAACATTTCAAATGCCTTCATTTATTGAAAGGACTTCAAGAAGATTGTAAAGCACTTCTCAAGCAATTCTGTATATAATTTTGACTTGCAGTAAAACAAAGCTGTTTTCACCGTTGCTCTGTATCAATAATATGTGTTAAATTAAGGAGTAATGCCATCTGCAAGCTTATATTATTGTTATATTCAAAAACAAATAATAAACCCATAAAATTTTTTAAAACTTTTTATAGTACTGTACAGTATTTATCCAGCATCTTGTATACATTGCCCCCTCCTTGATTCTGGTGAGGGCTCTTGATCAAAGGAATTGAACCTGTCTCCCAATTCCTTGAATTGAGTTTCAATGCCTTCCATTTCCTGAGGTGCTGTATGACTACCCTATGGCTTTAGTGATCTTCCTATGAATGTAATAATAATGATGTTATACACATCGTTGCCAGAAATTTGATTGTCCTTAGTCCTAGAAATAATTTGAAGGCTTGTTTAATTTATTTCCCTTATTTGTTAAGTACAATGCATTCATATGCATATGAAGATTTCCCAGAGGAAATATGGTGGGTGGTCAGCTCAGAGGATGACTAACCTACTTTCCTTTAGTCTGTGTATCTTCAGAATGTTTTAAAATATGACTGAAAATGTAGAGCTCTGCCATTCAGTTTTTTCCTGTTGGAACCAACATTTTTCTATCATAGTACCATTGATGTTACACAGATGAGCTTTTCATTAAAACTTAATTTTTATTCAGAACTAATGATAATTATTTTATTAACATGTCATTCTCATATATTAATGTTTTTTTAGTATATTTTTTAAAGTGCTGTAATCTGAAATTCCATTTAATGAATGTCAGCCATATTTTTTAGATAATCTTGCGTCAACTAAAGGAGAAGCCAAAACGTCGTCGAATTGGCCTTACTTGTAGTGGTCCCCCACCCCGATCTCACTGCGCTGTCCTGGATGCTGATGGCAATAAAATTGGGGATGTAAGTTTACACAGCAATTTCTTTTTTAAAGTGATAGTTTTATGTAGGAATATAATTTACAACCTGTGATGAATCGACAACTCTTGCACAGTTGCTAAATCATATACTGTACGTATTTTTGTTAGTGATGAGCAGAGTGACATTCATGGAATGAAATGAATCATCATCAGTCATCATCAACCATAATTATCATCATCATAATCATCAGTCAATCATCATCACTCATCATAAATCATCATCATCACTGCAAGTACATGATACAACTTATACAGGCCTGGCTGATATCAGTGACATACTGTGTAGAAAGCCCTCAGTTATGCAGAGCATTTCTGGCAACTTAGGTTAATCTCATCCCCCAGGATGTGACCCACACTAGTCAGCTAACACCCAGGTACCTACTTGCTGCTAGGTGAACAGGGACAGCAGGTGTAAGGAAACACATCCAGTGTTTCCATCCACAACAGGGATCAAACCGCAGACACTCAATGTGTGAACTGAGTGCTCTACCAACAGAGTTGGTTCATCCAGATGTCTTAAATTATCTGTTGGTATTACAGTTTTTAACCCTTTAACTGTTTTGGGCGTATATATACGTCTTACGAGCCACCGTTTTTGACGTATATATACTCATAAATTCTAGTGGCTTCAAATCAAGCAGGAGAAAGCTGGTAGGCCCACATGTAAGAGAATGGGTCTGTGTGGTCAGTGTGCACCATATAAAAAAAATAGTGCAGCTTGCAGTGCATAATGAGAAAAAAAAACTCCGACCATTTTTTAATTAAAATGCAGAGTTTGTGGTCTATTTTCGTATAGTATTTATGGTTGTATTCTTGTTTTCTTGGTCTCATTTGATAGAATGGAAAACATATTATAGAAATAGAGATGATTTTGATTGGTTTTACTATGAAAAGAACCTTGAAATGGAGCTCAAAGTAGGGGAAATGTTAGATTTTTGCCGATGTTCTAAAGTAAACAATTGATGTCATTTTCCAATAAATGTCCAAGTAGCCATTCTAATATGCAGTCATGAATGGGTTGACATTATTTATACAATTATTACAATATTGCAGTAGTCTGCATAACAGTAAATCTTCTATTTTTTGTTTGAATAAAAATTCAAAATAGAAAGCAAGAGTAATATCAGGGGCCTGGAAATGTGACTGATGAACAAAGAAAATGTTATTTTAGAGCCAGGAATGTCTGCATTGTTCATTCTGGACCCTGTTTTGAAATTGTCATATTTTTTAATTTTCGTGAAATTGGCCAAATTGCAAATTTCTGACCACGTTATTGGGTAGTTGAAATCGGTAAATGGGCAGTTTCTTAAGAACATAAGAACATAAAAAAGAAGGAACACTGCAACAGGCCTACTGACCCATGCAGAGCAGGTCCATGTCTCCCCCGGATTAGACCAATGACTCACCCCCGGATTAGCCCAATGACCCACCCAGTCTGATCATCTCCACTCAAGGATGAAGCACTGCACCAGACCCAGCAGCACAAGCTAGTCAGGTCCAACTCACACCCACCCACACCCACTTGTGTATTTATCTAACCTATTTTTAAAACTACACAACGTTTTAGCCTGAATAACTGTACTCGGGAGTTTGTTCCACTCATCCACAACTCTATTACCAAACCAGTGCTTTCCTATATCCTTTCTGAATCTGAATTTTTCCAACTTGAAACCATTGCTGCGAGTCCTGTCTTGGCTGGAAATTTTCAGCACGCTATTTACATCCCCTTTTTTTATTCCTGTTTTCCATTTATACACCTTGATCATATCCCCCCTAATTCTATGCCTTTCGAGAGAGTGCAGATTCAGGGCCCTCAGTCTGTCCTCATAGGGAAGATTTCTGATACATGGGATCATGATTTAATTAAGACACATGTGCAACATCTGGGTATCTTTATTATAGACGTTTCGCCATCCAGTGGCTTTATCAATACAAATTCCAGGACATAACTTGAAGACAGTAGAACTATAAACAGAAGATGAGTTAATCAGTCCCTCAACCTTGTCGGTATTGTATACCATTCTTGTACAACTTGTGATCATCTTTGTCATCCTCCTCTGTACGTTTTCCAGAGCATTTATATCCATTCTGTAGTACGGTGACCAGAACTGAGCAGCATAGTCTAAATGAGGCCTAACCAAGGATATATAGAGTTGAAGAACAACCTGAGGACTTCTATTATTTATACTTCTAGATATGAAGCCAAGAATTCTGTTAGCTTTATTTGTTGTCTTGGTTTTAAATTACTGCTAACCAGAACTCCTAAATCCTTTTCGCAATCAGTAGTATTAAGATCTACATCATTTAGTTTATATGTGGCATGGTTATTTACCTGTCCAACATTTAGAACTTTGCATTTGTCAATATTAAACTGCATCTGCCACTTCTCCGACCATTGCATCAGTCTATTCAAATCATCCTGGAGTGCTCTAGTGTCCTCATTAGAATGAATTGGACGGCCTATTTTGGTGTCATCAGCAATTTTGCTTATGTCGCTATTTATTCCCTCATCTATGTCGTTTATGTAAATTGTGAACAAGAACGGGCCCAACACTGACCCCTGAGGAACACCGCTTGTTACGTGCCCCTATTCTGATTTCTCCCTATTTTTGCAGACTCTCTGCTGTCTATTTGTCAGCCATGCCTCTACCCAGGAAAAAATTTCTACTCCTATTCCGTGTGCCTTAAGTTTCCTCAATAGCCTCTGATGCGGAACTCTGTCAAAAGCCTTACTGAAGTCCATATACACAATATCATATTCATTACCATGATCTACCTCCTCAAACACCTTAGTGAAAAAAGTTAGTAAATTCGTAAGACAGGAACGCCCCTTTGTAAAACCGTGTTGAGATTCATTAATCAATCTGTGCCTGTCAAGATGGCTACGAATTGCTTCGGCAATTATTGATTACATAAATTTTCCCACTATGGAGGTAAGGCTTATTGGTCTATAGTTCGAAGCCAAGGACCTGTCACCTGCCTTGTAAATAGGTATTACATTTGCCATTTTCCACTTATCAGGCATTATGCCAGTTTGTAGTGATATGTTAACCCCTTGACTGTCGCAACCCCCAATCCTGAGGTGTCTCCTGGTGTCACAAAATTTAACCCTTTCAGGGTCCGTCCCATAGATCTACGGCTTCACGTTGAGTGTCCAAACCGTAGATCTACGCCAAAATTCTAGCGCCGTCAAATTTAGCATGAAAGCGCTCATAGGCCTACATGTGAGAGAACGGGTCTGCGTGGTGGGTGTGCGCCATAAACAAAAAATCTAGGCGCCCGCATAGCATTGTGGGAACGCCGGCTCAGTTACCCTTGTTCACCATGCCTCGTCGCAAGTCAGCTCTCACTCTCCGGAAAATTGGGACTCTCCTCTTCCTATCTGATAGTTCTGACACTGATGGAAGTGGAAATGAAGACGAATTCTACGGCTTTGATCAGTTAGTGACCGAAAAGAATGACCAGGATATCGATAATAGTGCAGAAAACCCTGACGATCCTCAACCTTCTACCTCTGGTGTGGGCACTCGTGACTCACGGTCGGTTGTTCCTCAATGCAAGAGAAAACTAATATTTTCGTGTGGCCAGGCCTCTGACTTCAGTAATGATGATGATAGTGACGTGGATTGTGATTTTATTGCGATCGACGATTATTCGAGTAGTGATAGTGAGGAATCATATTCACCAGTGAAGCTTCGGTATGTTTGCCGCTGCATGCGCTCGGGTAGTGTACCCTATGCTGTGCCCAGGGGACGGAGTACATCCCGTGACCCTACACCAGTTTTAGGTAGTGATAGTGAGGATGATGTGGCTACACTTGGCATGGATAGACCACAGGCATCAGTGGATGGTGGTAGTGGTGATGGTAGTGGCTCCGCCATGCGTGACTCACCAGCCCACGCTGGGACCCACGCTGCTGACTCGTCAGTTCAAGGACAAAGCGGAGCGTCAGCCACCAGCCCACCACAACCACAACCACCTGCACAACCAGCCTATGATGTCCAGTATCCACCAGCAAACCGTATGTGGGATTGGCAGCAAAATCCCAATTTTGTTCCCAAGCCTCACCACTTTGATGACTCTCAAAATGGAATTCTACCTACTTGTCCCCTTGGAACCACGGCCAATGAACTGGAATTCTTTGAATTATTCTTTGACCAGCCATTGATGGAAACTATTGTCAGGGAAAGTAATAAGTATTTTGAGTACACCATGGCAAATACGATCATATCACCACAGTCAAGACTACACAGGTGGAAAGAGACGACTATTGCAGAAATGTATTTGCTTTTTGCAACAATAATGCTTATGCCTCATGTCTATAAGCATAATATAAAAGCATACTGGTCCACAGATCGGCTAATTTCTACCCCGGTCTTCAGTGAAATCATACCAGTGAACAGGTTTATCTTACTCTTACGTATGTTGCACTTCTCTGACAAAACCAGGCCTGACAGAAGCGACAGGTTATACAAGATTAGAAATGTTTTCATGTATCTCAAACAAAAGTTCAGCATATACTTTTATCCATTCAAGAATCTTGTAATTGACGAGTCTTTGATTTTGTTCAAAGGTAGACTGTCATTCAAGCATTATATACTGAGCAAGAGGAAACGCTTTGGTATAAAACTGTTTGTACTCTGTGACTGTGACAGTGGCCTGGTGTTGGATATTGTTGTATACACGGGAAGTAAAACATTGAAAGATACCAAGATGTTATTGGGTATCTCAGGTGACGTAGTGAGAAACATGATGGCACCTTATCTTGGTAAGGGGCATACATTATATACCGATAACTGGTACACAAGCCCATTACTCAGTGATTTCATGCGAGTGAACAAGACAGATGTGTGTGGCACAGTGCGTTCTAATCGTAAACATATGCCCAGGCTCAACGCAGGTGCTCGTGGTGACGACGTGCAGGTGTTTACTGCCAATGACATCATGGCATTATGGTGGCATGACAAACGAGATGTCACATTGTTGACAACCATTCACCGTAATGAAATGCAAGACAGTGGCAAAGTTGATCGAGTGACTAATGAACGTATTCAAAAACCAGTGACA